ATCTAGATAGTGTAAAATTATTCTGTCTTCACAACCTCAAGGCAAAGAAGACAGTCTGCTTCTCTAGCTATAAAAAACAATCTGTCAGATTTTTTTTAAAAGAAGTCACAACTGATTTCTCATAAAATAAAAAGCAGGAGGATTAGAGCTTTGTGGTGACAATGAAATCTGCTCAAACCTTGTACAGTGAAACCCAGAGCTCCAGCAAGGTCCTGCTTGAGGCATTGACCCTGCAATAAATGCAGTTTGGATTCTGTAGGTTCAGGGCTTGAACTGCCAAACATTTAGACCTCCTTATGCATCCAGATTTAAATTTTTGCAAAACCCCCAATAGTTGAATAGAGCTGAAGGTTAACAAAATTAAAACAACCTGCAACATATGATCCCCACACCTATGGCATCTACACAGTCCTTGTCATTCTAGAAAAGTGGTTGCAAGGCAGATGGAATTTTTCAGAAAATACAGCTTTAAACAAATGCGTCATGTAATGTGTTAAACTGACTATTCTGCCATATTACATGCTACTATGTCCAACTGCCATTCTTTTTGCATACTATTTACTGTAACAGTTAATTTCTACCTCTGGAGTCACACTCAGTTGTTTCTGTTTTGTGGATTTGAATATGATCATAGTCTCCCTAAAGTTTTCAAGAGCCCGAATATGAAGTTATTGGACTACTCTCTAAGAAAATAAAGGTTCTTCTCTGGGTCTAAAGCCCATTCTAGTGCCTATGAAAAGACTCTGATGAACTTTTAAACACAAAGGGCAGGCACCCAGGCTAGAGTCAAAGAAATTGAGGCAAAGATTCAGCTTTTCTGCTCAAAACCTTTTTGCAATAGCTGGATCATAATCTTATTTGGAGCTGAACAAGCTCAATTTGTGCAAGTAGGGTGCGGGGCAATCTTCCAGTACTGCTCATGCTTAGTCATTTGCCAAAACAAAACAGAATCTGTCTCCAAATTAATGAGTACTTAAGATCAGGAATTTTATGTCTGTATTTGTTTCTTTAGTAGTTAGCATGTTGTGGAAGATGTGCAAACAATCAGTCCCAAACTTCCTGAATACAGGCAGTTGTCTGTGCCAAGTTATTCAAAGTCCAGGATAGTATTTAATTTACCAGTTTATGGAGACTGCAGTTGTGTTGGGTGCCGGCTAGCACGGAGAGCTAGCACAACTCTAGTGCAGATAAAAAAAGATTCAGAGTTTTCCCTGATAGTTGTGGGGAGATTTTAAAGGAACAAAAGGAAGAGCAGCCTACAACTACTTGAAGGGCAGTTACAAAGGTGGAGACAAACTCTTCTTGGTAGTTACAGACAATGTAGTAGGAGGCAATTGCCACGTAGATTTGGCTTGGGCATTAAAGAAAATACAAACATGGTAGAACCGCTGTCCTCAGAATTTTTAAGGACTTGGTCAGGCAAGGCCACAGCTGGCAATAGTTCCGCTTCAGGGGGACTTCCAGAGGTACCTTCAACTGGCATTTCTGTGACACAATGAAGTCAGATACCCATTTTCTGTAGGCTTACTTACATAATCTTGTGCTTTTGGAAATCCAGGATTTTAACTTTCAATCCCTTAACAGGATTTCAACCTTCACACTTTCACAATATCTAGCAGGTATTTTGTTACTGACTGAAAAGATGCAACATTCACATAACCCTCAAAGAGACAACATCACTTTTAACTGAATTGTATTTGGATTTTCATATTTCAATATGCAAACCTCAAAATTCAGGATAGGTGAACTCTAAGGGACAAAATGTGATTACATAGAACAGGCTGGCATTTCACTCTTAAAATAAAAAGTGTATTTTCCAGATAGGTGCATTACGCAGATTTTACTCATTGCATTCAGGTAGTTACAACACTGCATCTATCTTCCCTGTGCAAGTGAGAGCACAGTTTTGTCCTGGAGTAATAAATCTTTTTTATTATATGAAAATGGCATTCACCTTTCACTTATTTCAATGGAAGCTTCAAAATCAGCTTTGCTTGTACCTGTATTATATTTAAAGGTATATACACTTCCATCAAAAAGAAGTTTCCACCCCCTCATCAGGAAGCCTGTGGTAATTCTCAAAGCCCAAGCATGCAACCTGTCTTCAGCTTAAAGCCATGTCTTTGAAAACAAGCATCCATTTTCAGTTACTTGAAGAGGCTTTGGTTTGGAGAAAGGAGGAAGACTGGAGACTGACTTGTTTTGCTTGCAGTCAAGTGGAAGAAGTCTCACCCTGTGTTACTGTAATAGAAACACAGGGAAGGAATGAGCGGTGTAGAAATCTGCAAAGTTGCCCGGAGGCCAGAGATGAGTTTACAGCAAGCTGCTCACCTCTGATCACAACAGACTCTGTAGCAATGCCAAAAAGCAAGCATTCATACCGGACTAAGCAGAATACTACACCTATTTACAAAGAATAACATGTCAAGAGCAATTTTCTTCAGAAAATTTCTTATTAGTCATGGTGGTTTAAAGGCTTCCTGCATGACTTAAGAAGACAAAAAAGGAAGAGAATATGTTACAGCAGAACTAGGAATTCACCTACCACACCACTTAACGTTCCACTGGAACTTAAAAAGGTACTCAGCCATTTCATAAAATGTTGACTTGTGTAGTATTACTTCTGTCTTCTTGCCTTGGAAATGAGATGTTATTTATAAAAAAGTAAAGGATTGAGAAAGCAGCTTGGCAAGATGTCCTGTCACATACTTCAGATCAGATTCCTCATTTATAATTTCATGAGGCCATTCAGTTTATAATTTCCTTTCTTCCCTTTTCTATCACCAAAATGTGAGAACAAAGACAGAAATAATGAGTCAGAGAGAACTTTTTGCCTCTAGAAATTCCCTCTCCCTGAAACTAGAAATCATATTATGAATTTATCCAGTAAAGTAGAACAAGTTAATTAGGAAGGTAAATCATAGAAGCATTTTGGAGCTTCAATTTGTATACATACACATTTCTATACATATTATATAAACTATGTGTCCACCTGAAGCACATGGCAATGGCACCCACCAGAGCTGCATTCCAGGACATCAGCAAGTTGTCCTGGCTCTGCAGCCTTGTGGTGGCTCCACAGAAGTGCTGCCTACCCTTCTTTGCTGAAAAGGAGACATGACTACTTACTTTCTGCAGAATGAATCGGAAAGAACTCAAGCTTCCTTAAACATGCCTGCCATGTTCATCCAAATAACCTGAGGCATACCAACAGACAGATAAGGCTGCATTTTCATGGCATCTTTAAGCCAGCCTAGGTGCAGACAGCAGCTGAAACGTGCAATCTCACCCTTCCCTGGCACCCTGTAAGATGTTGCTACTCCCAGCTTTCCACTGGCACTTGCACTAATGTGTGAGGGAGAGCAAAAAGCGATCTGGCTGGAAACTATTGCTTTTTGGTGTGTTTTCAGACAGAGCAGCCCCCTGATCTCACTTGCATGAGAGTGCATAAGTGCAAGTGGCAACACAAGGAGACATGAGGAAAGCATGGCATGGAACAGAGAGGTGGGTAGCATCAGATGTTTCAGCATCAGATATTATTTAAATTATCTCCAAACAATCATGTAACCACTAACACCTACTCTTCCATGGTAGCTCCTCTGTGGGGTTCAGAGCACCAGCGAAGCAGAGTCCTTCCTGGCTGAGCACCATCCCAGGGGCAGATTGCAAAAACCAACAAATTTTTTCACTTTCCTTCAGGGTCTTAATCTGTGACATACAAAGCTCTTGCCTCAACATCTCAACTTTAAGCGCTTTTATTGTCTTTTATACATGCAGTATGGGACAACTAGAGACAACGCTTTCAGATACAGCTGCTAGAAAGTAGGTTAGACATCTAGTAGCAGAAAACATCCTGTTTTATTTTGAGAAACTTCCCAGATTTCCATGTGGACTTCGGTTCCCTTATAGCATGCCAGCAATGGTAAAGGCCACACATGTGGTATAGATACTGGATCATGCTATAAGAGAGCCGGGAACCTGTCTCCCTAAAAAAGTTTCATCTGGCTGAAACACTGTGGGACAATACATTGCAACCACCAAAAGAGGCAAAAGAGAGATGGAAAGCTAATGCTGTAACACTGTACCTTTGTTACTGCAGGTCCTGAAAGACTGCTTGGTTGTAAAATTTCACTATTCATGTTCCTGATGAAATGTGGGCAAGTTTATATCAAGCAGCCAAGGGCTTTATAGGGATGGAAATCTAAGGCTGCATTAGGAATACTGTTTTAACATACTGATGACAACTTACAGTTTGCATACAACAGAACTGTAAAATATGCATTTCCGTAGAAGATACATGACAGAATTCAGAAATGTGCATAACATTCTACCTTACTACCTGGGGGACAAACTCTGTCCACAGATTTCTGTGGCATTTGCATGTACAGTTTAGAAGAGAATTTGTACACATACATATCTAAATAGAAATATAAATTGATTATGTAAAATCAGTACTTCAGTCTGTACTGATACAATTCCTAATAAAAGACTGAAGTGTGCTTATAGTGGTCCTGTTCTGGTAAGTCTTTAACTTTTTGGAATGGTTAAGTAAGACTTCGGGGTTTTGCTCTTTGTAAAGGTCATGTAGCACTGTGTGGGAAGAGTGGATTTGAAGTCCACCTTAAAAGTAGCAGGCTTTATAATTTTATCACCATTATTCCTACTGGAAGGCTGTTGAAGAACTTCATTGCTCTTAGTAATAGGACTGTTCTTTTAATTTTCAGCCCAAATCAATACACTAAAACAAAACAAAAAAACCAAACCCCAAAGTTAGTTGTTCAGCTGAATTCTCCTTTGTTGCAAATGAAGCTAATTTCATTTTGCCATTTCCCTTAGCACAAACGATGAACGATTATACAGCAACAGTTCTGTCAATCCCTTCTTTATAACATTTAAAGTCCTTTTTGTGTTAGAAGACACATCTGACCTGAATTTTCTTGCTTCTGGACCAAAGACAGCCAGTTGTCTCAACCTCTTCTTTCTGCTGTTCTCTCTTACAGTCTCCTCAGAGTGCAGTGACCTAGGCTGGCACCCACCTAAGCCAGCACCCACCTCCCACAGAAGCCTCTACAGCAGGAGTGGAGCACAGTAATTCTCTCCCATGTGTTTTACATGGCTTTTTTTGTTAATACACCCCAAAATACCATTTCCTGTTTTCGACATCACATTGCTGGCCTATATTTCACCTGTAATTCTCTATTGACACCACCTTGTTTTCTGCCATGCTGTTTTTCTGCCAAATATTCCCCAATTAGTATTTCTGCATTTCCCTTAGCACAGCACTTCATACTCACCTTTCCTGCAGTATTTATACTGGAGGTGACATCCATATGCATATCACCAGCCAGCCTGACTCCTTTATTACAGAAGAAATACATGGTAGCTCTTCCAGGAAACACTGCTTGCAGGTGTGTTGATGATTAGTTATATCTGCTAGGGGAAAAAGAGACAGGTAGGGCTGCATATGGTGGAATAACATTGATCAACAATTATACAATTAAACTGTAGTGTGGATTCAGCAGGCCCTCAGTAGATCATTACCTAGAAGCGAATGTATGCCGTCTCCTGGAGAACATCACTGAAAGAAGGCAAACTGCACAATAGATTTATGACAAGAACAAATTTATGCATTTGTGCTGCACCTCATGAAACCGATATATTGCAGCAGAACAGCAGGGCTGTAGGAGTCATTTGCTAGTGAAAAATGGGCAGAGCTGGTTTAAACCTTTCAAAGTGCAAAAGGGAACAAGAATTCAAGCTCAGGCATGACAGTTACCATACGCCAGGGTTTTTTTGTATATTCTTCCTGAAAAATACAGGGTGGGGAGAACTTCTCATTTAGGCATAGGTTGCCCTTATTTGTACTTACAGAAGTGTACAAAGAACTTCTCCCTGTTCTTGAGCTCAGGTCACCCACAGAGCAACCCCGATAGTCCAGAAATCATTTGTTTTCTCTGTCTGTCCTACTGCTCACCCAAGGAGGCTGCTAAACTCAATGATGAGTGTAGTTGCCCTTCCATCTTCACCATGCTGCAGAATGGGGCAAGGGGAACACGCTGTAGATGGTCCAGTTCACACATTACCAAGTGCACTTCATGAAAAACTTGGAAGCCCATCCTCGCCTGATATCAGAGCTCCTCCTTGTCAGGAGGTGGCACTGTAGAAAAGATTGTGCTAATTTAGACAATCCAGCCTTTGTCATCAATTCTTTTGAAGGTGACAGCATGGAGGAATGGCAGGGCATTTGCCCAAGGAAACCTGAGGTACCCCTTTCTGTAGCCACAACAGTTTTACGTCTGCATAGCTTGATGCATATCATCATCCTACCTAACAATTTTTGCCTACTGTAAGGTGTATCTGCGTTATTGTCTGGTTTTAGTTTACTTGTATAAATGGTGTTCAATGGGAAAGGTCTGTTACTTCTCTGCAAAACTTACCTTTACACAATTGGCCAGCATGGCCTGAAAACATAATTTAGAAGGAAAAGAAATACCTAGGATAGCAAAATAAGGTCTATTAGACTAACAGCCTTTGTGTATTACTACTATCGGTTTGAGAAATGAAGAGTAAATTATTTGGCTGGGTAATGTAAAATGGAAATGGAAAACCATAATGAAAATGTACTCTGTCAAAAATTTATATATTACAAATGACAAAGCAAGTGGAATTGTCCCTGCTTATGCATAACTATTATGTTGTATAGTTAGTACACCTGATACACTGGAACATATACTGGGTTTTCAGATTCTTCAGTGACACTAATAACTATGTATATGCACACATGTACATACATATAGATGTACATACATAAATATGTATGCATATATAGTTACATAAAACCACAGACACAACATTGCACTTGTAATTTTTTTTGTACTTGTAAAGTGTGGGTAAAAACAGCAGTTTAAATTGTCATACCAACCATATATATTTTTCACTCAAAAATTCCTGTGAAGTTGTTTTACTCAAAACTGTTTTCATTACCATTTTTCTGGGAACTTCTCTTCACTTTCTTCTGATTCTTGAAGTTAGTATTCAGGTTGAAATACAAAGCATTACGAATAAAATACAAAGCATGGATCTCACCGAGAGCTTGCATGAACTCTGGGCCAGTGAAATCACATCCTTGAATATTCATGTCCTTGGGGGCCGCGTGTGCCTCAGTATTGAATAGAATCCACAAGTACTTGATTTGCTTCTCTCTTTAGAGCCCATGACAGGTTGAAGACACTTGGCCATTGAAACTTCCCTCCAACTCCTTGCTCCGTGTCAGAGGACCACTGATTAACACCTTTGTGGAAAGATTTATCCTCAAAACTTCACTTTTCATGATACTGACTCTCAACCCATTCCTCAAGGCTTGGCAAGAAACATGTTCCAGGCCAGAGACTCTCAGATAAATTTAGGATTTGTGTACAATGACAAAAATTCATATTCTCATCATGATTTCTGCTGCTAAGAGCAAGTGCTGGTGAAGATGAGAAGAAGTTGGCTTGTTGATTGTCTATATGAAATGTATTTAAAGATAGTAGCTCCAAATACAGCAGCTTATGAAACTGAGCTTCACCCGACTGTTACTGTCTCTAAAGAAAGCAGTAAATGAAATAGTTGCTGACATCCATTGGACTGCCACGGTGGCAGTTTAATGGTGTAGTTTAATGGTTTTAATGGTACAGTTTAATGGTAACAGGCCACCATGGTGGCAGTTTAAGGTGGCCTTGAAGCTGCTTTGGTAAATGCACAGCTTCAATGCACACCACATCCAGGTATAAGAGTGAGTGTCGGTATGGAGGATAATCAGTACACTTTGTTCCTGTCAAGGCCACTCAGGATCTCTCTTAAACCAGATAATCTTTGAAGGGGAAAATGCATGTTGATTGTAGCTGAATGTAAATATTCAAACAATAAAATACTGGAAACAAAGTTACAGAAGACAAATAAAAACCACTAAAATCCTTCTGTAAAATATTGTTACTAAAATACATTCCTGTATGTCGTTATGTCTCTCTGAGACTTAAGAAACTGAAAGAACAACCAAAAATTTTCTACCCTGAATGTTATATTTAAGTATGAACTTTCTTCAGCTCACCTGGGTGGCCTTAGTCTGTATCTCCAACAAATGCTGTTAGGAATCTTTGTGCACTCTCCACCCATTTGTTCAGCACTGTGTAGCCTAAGTTCCCAGGTTTTGCCATATTCCTTAATGATGACATTTCTTCTTGACTGTTTGCTCATCCTACAAGTGCCAAATTACATGAAGATTTTTTCATGTGTGCCTCAACAGATGCCAAGCTCAAACTACATCTGCTGAACTACTCTTCGCATTGCCTTGTCAAACATTATTTAAGTGAGGCTGGATAAAATGATCTTGAGTATAACTCACTTTCAACTTGTATCATATTTCACAATGAAAATTCCTTTTGTAGAGAGGGACAATATGCAGATGATACTGAAGCAATTGCAGCAGCCATTAAGTCTGGTGACTTTCTTTGACTTTGCTTGCTCCTAGGCCCTGTTTTATGCTTTCCATCAAATCCAGTTCTCTTCAGTACCCTTTCCATACAACAAGAGGAACAAGACCATCATCACTCTTATAGCTTACAACTGGCCATGATGCTTTTGGCTGACAGATTTGCTACAGATGTAGTAAATACAGACTCACACAGCCTCTCATCCAGCCCTCAGACAAGGACCTAAACTCACACTATTACAATCAAGGACTCCATCCATAACTTAAATCACTGCACCTGGGATCACGACGGTTCTCTGCCTTACTACTATGGGTAAGGACTGCTCTCTGCAAATCAGAAAATCACAAGCAAAACAATCAGCTGGAATGACATTAATTAGTTCTAGGCAAAAGAACTTGCTTACTATATTGATAAGACAGTCTTTTAGAAAGTGGTCTTATCTCTTTCCAACAAAAGCCTGCCTATCTTGTCCTGGAGTCCAAAAGATATGACACAAATGTCTCCTTGTATTGTCCGCTGCCTGACACATGTCTTTCACCAGGCTTCAAAGTTCAGGGGCATCTTCTATCTTATCTAGAAGAGTGTCAATATGAAAATTGGCAAGACAGACATCTGACTAGGCCACTGAATTTTGAAAGAATTATACTTTGCCATTAGTCACTATGCCAGCTCAGAGGAGCAGTAATGCAGTGCCTGGCCGATGCACCAACTGTTCTTTATTTGCACCACCATGAAGACAACATTAGCTTGTGCAGATACAAACCAGCACATGAGCATGAAAGGAAATTACCTTAAAGCTGCTGTAGTTCCTCTAGATGTCAACAGTGTGGAGTTCATGACTCACCCTCTGTGCTCACTTTCTTGCTCCCTCCATCAGCTTCAGATCTGAATTATGAAGGAACAAGGAATGGATGGATCCCACTGCTTTCACCTTTTCTTGAAAGCATAAAGAGTCATAGCACTTCACAGCTTACAGGCTCCTCTGTCACGCACAGGAGATGCACTTCCATCTACTGTAGGGTCATTCTCTGGACCCTGATACCCGCTAGATCAATGCTGGCTTTTTACAGGGGAAGAGTGGAATTCCACAGCCAAGTACAGGAGTCATTCTAGAGAGAGAAATAAATTGGGAAAAGAAGGAAACACTGTCAAAAGGGTAAAGGATGGGGGGACAGGGTTTTTGCAGTTTGATGAATGACTTGGTTTATTTGGCCCAGCATACTGCTGATATTCTCCCCATCTAAAATTTATACTGTAAGTTCTTTGTTAGTAACTCTTTTAAACACTATCAACCCTAGTAATCAAGTTTATAAAATCCTAATATTTCAGTCAATCTTCCCCATTCCCTATTATTTCTGCTCCCTGGAGCACAAAGAATGAGCTTAGGAGTCCACCTCATGCAATTTTCTTACTCTTTGGAGCTTGTGAACTTTACCTCTGTTTTTTGTTTGGTTTTTTTTTTCTCTGAGCTGACATGAGTGTGAGTCATGAGATCTCTGTTTCTGTTTTCTTTTTCCAGCTGTTCCAGGTATGGTGGAAATTACTCACCTGAAGGACCATAAAGATGTACTTGTGGCTTGCTGAGGGGAAATCTGAAAATCACTTTCTTTTTGAATTTGTTGTTTTTAAATGGAATTCATTAATTCTTTTGCCTCACTGTCACACTGGGAAACTGATGGTCCAATTTCTTTGTGTGGGTAGATCATCAAACTATGCCAAATCTTATTGAAGTCATTAGACATCCATATAACCCTGGTCATCATCTGTACCATGGAAGCATGCAGAGAACAGCCAGTGAATTTTGAGGCTGTCATGGAAGAAACTGGGACTCAACTGATGTGTAAATATTCAAGACTAGCCCTACAGAAAATGAAACAGTTAGGAAGCATCATACTCTTAGCTGTCTCCAAATGTGCTGGACTCAAGCTTTCAGCTGATTTTTTCTTGATATCTGGTGCTATTGTCAGTTACTGATGCATTTAGACACCAAACAATAAATATATTTTTCTTCGTTAACAAGCTTGCCAGCATGACATAAGGGCTCATTTTTTAAAACTAGGATTTCTCTATTTGTCTCTAAAATGTGTTTTTCAGTTCTGGAGGACAGAACCATAATTCTATAATCCGTTTATATTTTGTCATAATAGGAGTTGCTGGTATATCTTATATTTATGGACATCCCATAGTAAATAAACTACACAAAACATTTAAAAGAAACAACAGTGTGTTCTGGCCAGTGTCAGAGCCACAGTGAAAAAGAGACAAACTAGAGGAAAAGCAAGCATCTGAGGATGGAAATGCTTCTGGTATGGTCTAGATGGTGAGATAGGAGAAAATGTCTTTTTTTCTGTGATGAGGACTTATTCAGCAGTACAGGTAAAGCTGGCATGACAACACAGAAATCATGGGCTGTATTTTTCCAGAAGATGACTATGTGCTAGGGATATCAGTTTATTAGAATTAGTCCCTTGTGCTTCATTTTCACTGTCTACCAAATATCAGTGTTTGGTCTTTGGTGGACAAGTGACTTGCTAGATCATGGTTCCCTCTTCCTGCTCTCTCCTTTCTTCCCAGCCGTAGGATTTATGAAAAGTACCAAGCTGCTTTTCAAAATTTGCTCTGCTTTGCAGTTATATATAGATGACTTGTTGGAAGTCTTTAATCATACGGGACAAAAGAAACAAGCTTTTTGAAAAATATTCATATTATATTTGTTCATAAACATGTTTTATATGAGAACAATGTTCTTCAGTTAAGAACTTCTAAGTTGCAAAATAAATGCTTTGGCATTGAATTAAGGCTGTCCAACCTCCTGCTTCTCTCCGCTTCCATTCATACCATGCCTGTGGGAAATCATTTCCTTGTGTTCAAAATGGTACAATCTTAGGCCATGATGACAAGTTATTTTTCTTATAGGAACATACATTTGGTACATGGCCAACCATTTGGTACATGGCCAGACAGAGCTGAATGAGTGAGCAGCTATTCAACAGACTGCTTGCTTCTTGCTTAGCATAAAGCCCCAAGGTCTATTAACATCACCAGCCAAACCCTAGTAAAAGGACCATTATAAATTTTCCCAGGGTTTATTGCTGGCAGTCATCATTACAATATCTTGGTGACTCATCAGCATGTTCTGGCCTAATTTTAAGATTTTTGGCCTAATGTTTTGTGACTACTTAACATTACATAGTCCCATTGCAGCACTTTCACAAGTCAGTCTCCTTAAACAAGGTGCTCAGAAAATTAAGAATACAAATTTGTAATCATCTGTGAAAAAATTTGGCTTAAATGACTTACATCACAGGAATCTGTTGTATAAGTAAGATCAAGTTAATTGGTACCATATTTATCTTTACAGATAATTAAAAATAATAAACTTGAAGTTAGTCAAACTCTCTCTCCATCCATCTATCCACCAGCCTGCCTCTCTGCCTTGACAATGTGTGAACCTGCTGGGCAGTTTCAGCCCAATTTCACAGAAGGTCAGTGATGTCAAAGATAATTAACACTCTTAAGATTGCCCAGAGTTGGGTAGAGGTGGGGACCCAGAAAGGGCTCGGACACAACATGGGCAGCCATTTTCTTAGGCAAAGAGAGAGGTTACAGAAGAAGTAGTCAGAAAAGGAGTTTAAAGAATGGAAGGCTAGAAATCACAGGAAAATAGTTTTTATTAGTTCTGTAGTTCATGAAGATTTATTTTTCTCTGGACTTGCATACCTCCCAAGTTTTTTAGGTAGGGCCCCTCTTTTTAATTAATCTCCTTCACTGTGCAACCGTAATTAATTCCCAGAGAAAGCTTAGGGAAAAAAAAAGTATAATTGATTATATCTGACTGCATGAGACTGTATATACATCAGCAGAAAATGTGCAGATAGCAAATTAAACCTGCACAAGGCTGCCTTAATTCTGCCATTTCTTACCTTATATGTGCTTGATGCTTGAACCTTAGAAACCTTGCTTTTAAGAAGGTGTTTTGCAAATCTAATCTTTACACATACACAGATGGCTGCAGGACTGAGTGCATGAAAAGCATTTCTGACTGCAATATCATTCCTGCAATCAACAGTTTGAAATACAGAGTTCTTGACATTGTCTTATTAGTAAATTCGTAAATCTGGCATGTTTTAAATTCACAGTTCAACTATATTATTTGAAAGCAGAAAACAATTACTGAATTTGCTCTTAGAAATGATTAAGTGATAGCAGGATGTGCAAAGTACCACAGCTTTTTCATGTTGATGCAGCTGGGTTCTGAGTTTAAAAACTTATTTTATGGATTTCAAATAACATATTTAATGCCTTGCATCTTGAAAGAACTAAACAGACAGGGTTTCACTGATTTCAACAGACTGACTTACAGATAGCAAAAGGGTAACAGTTTTACTTTGTGCAATTTTTTTCTAGTATTCTTCGTTCTTACAGGAAAAATACTAGACTTTTAAATTTATCGTTTCCTCATTCAGGAACTAGGTGATAATTGACTGAAGAAAAAAAAAATCCCTCAAGGTATCTGTAGTTAATCAGTGTTGTAATATACAAGCCCAGTGAGAAAGACGTGGCTGTAAGTAGGATGTAGCCTCTAAACTGCATGTACAAAATAAACTTGTACGAAGGCGAGTGTTAATTACATGCACATTTGTGCTTGTTTTCCTATCCATATATGTGTGCGTATACCTAGTTATGTATGGAGATTGATTAGGAAAAAAGGCATACTGAAGAAAGAAGATTTCTAGTGCCCTAGATCAATGTTCAAGGCAAATACCAACAGTCCCAGGCTCTCACAGACTGTGGTGCTCTGGGCTCCTGGTCACTGTGATGAATCTGACATATGCTAATGTAGGCCTGGAAGCCTAAGGTAGAAATTTGCATCTGTGCATGACTAGGGCAGGGATTAAAAAAATACCAAGAGGATGATATAAAGAAAAGAAGAAATAAAATGGTGCAGGAAGCATACAAATGGATCAGACGGAGCTTTTGCAAATTAAAACACCTAGGATATATTGAAGATGCCTTACTGACTAAATGGGTTAACTCATTACAAACACTTTTCAGTCCTAACTTGTGGCTGAGGGTTTTGAGTCTATCTGATGACAGAGGGAATAAAAACACTCAGTGGCAACAATATCGTGTGTGCCTGAGAGGTTTTCTCTCCTGTGATGCCTGCACTCTGGGATTTAGCTAGCAAAGGTTGGTTTGAAAAATGTGGTAAGCAACACAAAGGAACTTGTGCCCTAAATCTCCAAGCAACTCCAGCCTTGCCCCCCCCCCCCGACAGGAACCCTATTCAGAAGTGTTTTTTCTCTTGAGAAATAAGGCTTTGCTATTCTGTTTTACCGCTAGCAGAAACAGATATAATATGGGAAGGAATAATACAGGAATTGGAGACAACATTTCCCAATTTGCTTAAAGAGAGGAAAATGCACAGGAAATAACTGACAAAAGAGAGGAGAAGTTGTGAATGGAAGTGACATATCGAGACATTCACTTAAACATTTGATGGTGTTAACCCTCTGTGAAATTCCAGATGGGGATTTGAAAGCAAGCGAGTCTGCTGCCCGTGGCCAGGTCAATACTTCATCATTTCTAACGAGGTGGCATCACTCAACCAGACAGAAATAGGCTGCTCCTCCACAGAATCTAACAGCCAAGCAAAATCCACAGGAGTTCCTTATAGTTCATAAATACAGTCAGGCTACAAACCCATGATTTAAAGGCCTTTAAAATCACTGATTATTCGGTCATCTCCTGTGATAAACTGTCACAGGATTTAATTATCTTCCTCAGTATCAATTTAGCGTGATCCCTTGAGACATGCCATTGAACTCTGTCTTCACACTGAGCAAATGGTTCAATTACATCCTCTTCAGCCCTTTGGACACAGAGGAGAGGCACGCTCGCCAGTTGCACGCCCCACTGAAGTACCAGACATCAGCAGTCATCTTTGGCAACTTGTCTTTGTTGCTGTTTTTTGGCATCTGTGCCAGCTATGAGCCCCATGCCCCGTCAAAGAGCAGAAACCAAGGTGGAAGAGAGTGGAGGAAGCCCCCTGGCACATGCAGGGGCCAGGCTGGCTCCACTCCCAGCAGGCCATTTGCTCTTTGCCTTCGTCCCTGCCACACCCTCCTGTCCCTGCCTAGAAAGCAGTTTCCAAAGGCAGAATGCTTTCAACTCCTTGCCTTGTAAAACCCACTGGTAGCTATGGAAAGAGAGAAGGAAAGCATTCAGAGATACTTCCACTTAAGCAAAGTTTTGTTCCCCCACATTTCACAGGGACCCGGCTCCTCCTGTTTGATCCTGCAGCAAAGTTGCATAGCTGGTAAGCAACAGCCTCCATAAATTTTGTGAAGACAGAAGCTTACAAAATCTTGTGTGAGACCATAAGAATAGCATATGCCTTCATTGCAGAATAAAGCAAAGCTGAACGACAACAAAAAAAACCCCACACTATCCCTTAGTTCTCAACAGATCGAGGAAAAACCATAAGGTGAACATACTTGACATCAGAACGCCTGGGATTATGAATCTGTAAGAGCAAAAGAGATACCACAAGCTTTTTCTGTTGTGGAGATGTTTATGAAGAAACTCTACATCTGAGCAAGCCAAACTTCACAACAGCTTGGCTCCAGACCTAGTGTTGTGGCTCAGAGTTATCTCTGCTTATCACAGGGTACGTTGTTTAGAAAGAAGCTGTCTGTTTTTCGGAGGTCCTCACTGTGCCCAAGGTTGTCCTTTAATCCTGCGGCACAGGTTAATTCTGCCCAGCTGAAGGGCAGTGCACCCAGCACCACACAAGGTTTGGGCTAGGTAACCAGGCCCTGCACACACACTTGCTTTAGCTCTAGGTTGCATAGACTCCTGCTGGTTTTTTGAGAAAATCTGATCCTCCTTATAATAGGAGCAAAGCCAATGCTCACATGCTGGAAAAGTCATTAAAAGCAACAAGGCCAGCAGGAGCCTGACAAAAAGGTTTTCACCTTTCCAAAATTCAAACACCAGATCCCTGGGAATAATTGAACACCACTCAAGCTAGTGATGCTGCTGAGCAAGCTTCCAAACAGTGCTGGGACTCGAGAAAGTAGGTGGATACAGAGATGGGTGTGGTAGGTCTGAAAAGTCAGCACTCTCCTGTTCCCTTGTTTAGTTGAATTCCTGTAAAGGAAATTCTTCTCCCAGTACAGTTTGAAGTCAGTGGGTTTGGGGATAATCCACTAAATTATTGCTGTTTAATATTACTAATATTAGGGTACCATTAAAGTCTCTCTCATCCAAGCTCTGTCTCATACTTTACACAGCTTTCAGGAAATTGTTACATTCCATCAATATGAATCGCAGCTTGCTCAAGTGCATAAGGAGTACAGCAAGGAGAAAAATCATTTATGTGAGGGAAGTAGTCAATTACTCCACTGATGTGTGCTTTTTTATAGGCTTTTCACTGCCAATCAGTGTCACAGCTTTTTGTCTCTTTTTCTGAACAAGTGCATGTTATTTCACGCAGTTCAACTGATTTTAGCCTGGCAGCACTCTGTAAATAAAGCTGTCCCTTGTCAAACAGTTAACTTCTTTCTCTTTGCACATCACCTCTGAATATTGCCAGAGAAACAAGCCACTGTCAGTGGTTATTGGCCTAGACAGGCACCAGAAGGCAGTCTGACCATCTCCATTTCATGTCAAGGCAAAACACAGCTGGAGAATAAGAGTATTTATT